GTCAAATGGTTGTTGTGGGCTTTTCGGGCTCTTTGGCCGTGTTCTGAAGGTTGTTCTTCCTAACGTTTTGCCAGTCTTTGTAGCCGGCCTCTTCAGAGGACACAGACCACCCACAACAACCATTAGATCCTGGCCATGAAAGCCTTTGCGAATGAACGGAGTCAAATATTTAAAACTATTTTATGGGTCTTATACTCTGTTTTTGACATTAGTCTACAGCAGTGGTTCTTAACCTTTGTTACTCGGATGCTTTTGAACTGCAACTCCCAGAAGCCCCAGTCAGGACAGCTGGTGGTGAAGGCTTCTGCGAGTTGCAGTCCAAAACTCCTGAGTAACCCAAGGTTAAGAACCAGTGGTCTACAGTACAGTACAATCCTGTCACTGGATTCTGTTGAAAACTTAGCCCCCTGTTCTTCTAGGTGTAAAGGTTCATACAGTGGTGCCTTGCTTAACGAGGATAATCTGTTCCAGTGAAATCGCTGTAGAGCGAAATCCTCGTTAAGCGAAATAAAAAACCCAATTGAAACACATTGAAAACCCGTTCAATGCATTCCAGTGGGCTGAAAAACTCACCATCCAGCGAAGTTCCTCCACAGGGGCAGCCATTTTCGGTGCCTGTAAAGCGAGGAATCCGTCCAAAAACACAGCGGGGAGCCATTTTACACAGCGGGCAACCATTTTGAAGCCGCCGATCAGCTGTTTTAAAAACGTCGTAATGCGAAGAATCGGTTCCTGAAGCAGGGAAGTGAATTTTGCCTATTAAAACATTGTTTTGCAATTGCAAAAGCGATCGCAAAACAGTCATCGTATAGCAGTTTCGTCGTTTAACGAGGTACTAGTTAAGTGAGGCACCACTTTATATTAAATTGCTGCTGGGACTCTGTAAGAAACAAAGTGTTAAAATATGGGACTTCTAAGGATTTTTCAGAATAGTTGCTAAGTCCTGATATTCAAAGAAATCAATGAAAACAGAATTATATAAAGCTGTCTTCTGTAATCTGTCCCTTGAATGCTGTTAATATTA